AAAGTAAACCAATGGAGCAAGAATAATCTAACCTTAAGAACTTCTGCTGCCGATTTTCCTAACTGTAGGCATCTAAATCACAGGATCCCTCCACTGATATCATCTTCTCCAATCTGTCTTCCAACAGCATTGGGGTTCAATTCCTGTAATCTTCAAGCAGCATGACCTAATGCTTTGGGGGCTTATGGCAGTTGATTTCCAATACATATAAGAGGGCATCATCAAATTAAGGAAAATGAGGGTAATGAAAATGTTATTCCTTTATATACCCTGTTGCATATACATTAACCCATGTGTAATTTTTTGCTCTTTTTTGTCTTCTCTTTCTCATCCCATAGGACCTGGTACAGGAATTGCAGGCAATGGATCAATGTGTCTGGCCGTACCACTGTGGCTGTTGGCAGCGTCCATGTTCTGCCTACTCAGCAAATGTTAATAACGGCTGAAATAAAAACCCAGCAACATCAAGAACAACACACAAAGCAAAACAAAAATGTCATACAGGAGACAGAGCAAGAGAGAGTGGGGGGAGGGAAAGGACAACTTCTTTCACAACTTTTGTGTGTGCCGCAACAAAGGGGAGAAATTTCAATGAAAGAAGAATCAGCCACTTTTATTTTAACAACTGTCAAGTCACTGACCATCCGGGAGTATGAGAGACAGATTATCACGCTATGAAGGCTGGATTCTGCTAAGGATGCTGAGATGCTGTAAAAAGAAACAATGAAATTTCACTTTATTATTTTCATTCCCTCATATCATTTTCTCCTCTCTCTTTCCTTCTTTCCCTCCCTCCCTCCCTCCCTCAAGGAAAGAAATGGCCTTTGCTTTGATGTTGATAGCCATAATCTTTTAATTGGCTTGGTAATTTCTTAAACTGATACTTAGCTTTTTCAGATACCTGTAAAGAATGATGCAGAGTTCTCTAGCATACTGGTGTCCCATGAAGAAACTCCGCACAGCCCTTACCTCACTGCCTCTCCCTTAGGCTGTCCCATATATTTCTGGGTATCTTAGCCCATGATGCTTTGAGGATGATAAAACTTAGAAATTCTACTCATCTGCCCTCTTGTTCTTGCCAGTCTCCCTGTCTCCCTCTCTCTCTCTCTCTCTCTCTCTCTGTCATGTATGTATGCGTGCATGTTTCTGTGTATGTATGTGTGCATCTCTCTCTCTTTCTCTCTCTCTCTCTCAAAAGCATGCAAAGAAATCAGTCCCTGTGTACATAAACTCATCCCTGTAGATAATGGCTTGCATTGCACATGAGGATGACTGTTTCGCTTGGATGTGAATTCTGGGTGATAAGGAGATACACAATGGTTTTCCCAAAAGAATTTTGCTTTGACTTCTTCCTTCAGTCCCAGTTTTAGAATCTAAAATTTAGAGCACATCCTTAGTCTTCTCCTGTTAAATTTGGATAGCAATCAAGTGTAACCTGTATGTTACCCTCATTGCTCTTCAATTTTCCTTTGTCTACCTAGCCTTAGACAGGGCCAAAGATTCTGAGCCTCAAGGAGTCTGCAAATTCAATTACCCTTGAGCATGTTCAGTCCTGACTGAATAAGGATCACATAGGAACAATTGTAGCTATAATAGTCCATTGTCCAAATCCCCATTCCATTCACTGCAGAGAGAGGGAGTTGCAAGATCAGCAGAAGTGGCTCAGTCTAGGCTATGCGGGGTTAACTGGATCTGGACTTAAAGAATTGAAGAGAATAAATGTTTTCTGGGCTCCAGAAGTTCCAGGAAGCTAGAGAAAGCTGGACAGGGTAGGCAGCACGATAGCATATGCATTGCATAGTGGTTGAATGGCATATATAAGGCCCTGAGGTTTTGTCATAGGACAAAGACGAGATGGTAGGTGCCGTCATTGGTTGGAGAAGAGCAATAAAGTATATTTATCACTTATAGCAGCAGTAGGCCATATACGATCCTCATCCCACACCATCAGCTATGCTGGTTATGTCTAATGGTACTTCAAGAACATATGAATGGCCACATTTTGTCTAGCCCCCGAGTAATATGGCTGTGTGTTGTGAATGCCTGATACGGATCCAGTAATCATTTACTATCCCTTACTTGCATTAGTGGCCATCATTTCTATGCTTGGGCAGGGTCATGCCAGGCAGTCCCCTTATGAGGGGTGGTTTGTGAGAACACCTGTCACAGAAAGCAGATAGCACAAAAGGGAAAGACAAATCTTTGAGTGAGAAGAATAGGTAATCTTTTGCCATAAGGATTGTTATCTTGCAACCGTTCTAATGGCTTAACCAGTGGCTACAATTATTCTAATTAGGGATGTGTAAATCTCTAAAATTCCTGCCTTCTTAAAATCCATATTTGTAAATCAGTATTCTGGGCCAGCAATCTTTTTTCTACAGATTAAAAAGAAAAATCATAGAAATTTTGTATGCATATTTGCAACATGTCATAATATATAGAGGCCTTATATGGATTTCCCCAACTTTATGTAACTATTAACGTAAATTTTCCAAAACCTTTTTTTAAAAATGTGAATCACTGTGTTTCTTTCCTTGACAGTTAAATTCCCCAATGCAGAATTTTAAAATACAAAGTTTCCTGAAGTAATCTCTTTAAAAACCCTACTGCTTCCTATGTGTAACTAAGTAATGTGCTTTTTTTTTTTAGAATTTTTGTAGGAAGGCAAAAGCTAGCAGAATTTTGAGTCTAGTTTTAATCCTACTATAAAGTGTGATGGGAATGGAACATTCAAATTCACTTTTGGAATTGGTGTTGTAATGTTTTTCTCTCCCTAACACTGATCCCTGTGCCTGGTCAATTTTCATAAGGAAGTTATTTTCTTCCTTTAATAAGATAGTGGGAAAACCTATCCCAACCTCAGGATGGTGAACCAACAAGCATAACCATCATACAGCGACAGAACAAGCTTGCTTCTAACTATGCTAAAATAAATGTAATTTTGCAACAACAATAAAAATATTAACGTGCCAACATTTTGATTTTACATCCTTTAAAAAGCCAGAAAGATAAGATTTTAAAAGCCATCTCCTAAATCATGATAAGATTAGTTGAAAAAGAAAATCATTGCTAGTTGAAATTAAGAATCTATTTATATGCTATTTACCTATTTTATAGGAAAAGCCTTTTTATACTGTGGTTAGCTTTAGGGATTCCTATCTTTCTCAAGCCAGGTCAGTAAGGGTGGGGAATCTGCTCATTCCTGATCTGAGTTATATACTTGTGCTTCAAAAATGGCTTACCCTGGTTTGTCTCAGTAATTACCTCATACTGGTTTGTTACTGAAAATTGGGCACATATGGATCTGAACAAATCATTTACCTCTCATCTGGTTTACAGAAAGGGACAAGCTAAATTATTAAAGTTACATACTCTTGTCCCAAATTGTACTTCGTCTTTTTTTTAAAAAAAGAAAGCAGAGGGGCAACAATTTAAACTTTACCTTTACCTAGTTCAGTGAGGAAAGTAATTGTATGCCAAATATTTAAAGGTAAATAAGCATCCGTCATGATATGTTATCAAATCCAGAGTTAATGTATCATGCTTAATGCCGACTACCCATTTGACTAGCTTCACCAGTGCAATTCACTATGCAGTCCCAACTTGTTCATTAAAAATGATCTAGATTTTTTTTGGGCAACTGTTGGTTCCTTTCTAAGGGCTCATCCACATGTAGTGAGAAGACACCCCACTGTTTCTCATGGACAGGTTTTACAACATAGTCTCCATCTCATTCCAAGCCTACTGCTGGGGCAGGTTGAAGCCAATCTAAGGGGTTCTGGCATGAAAAGTGCTAAGGTTTTTGCTGGCATTACGGCACCAAGTCTTCTTTGCAGACATTCTAGGGTACACGGGGGGGGGGGGGCG